AAAAATATATACAGTATATATATATATATATATATATATATATATATATATATATATATATATATATGCCTTTTATTAGAAATGGGGTGGAATTCTTTGTTCACAAAATTATGCAATGGAAAAGTTAACCTGGCACATGTTGTGTACCCGAATGTATAAGCAACTCCAATTCAGAACACATACAGAGTTTGTATGGGGCAGCATTTACTGTGAACCAAGTTAATTTCAGCCAGCAGCAGAAGTCTCATGCAAAAGTCCCCAACAGCGTGATGGCAGACACAACCACCATCGGCTCCAAGGCACTCTTCCCCAGCTTCATACATGCCAAAAACTGATGAATAGCTTCCACGCGCTTGACTGTGAAATGCGCACAGCCGCACACAGTTACTGAGTCGAGTTGGACTTCTTACAGTTTTCTACAAGCTCTAGGACTCAATTCTCAATACTTTTCAAAACTACTTTTTCTTCACACAGTGAGCACACCAATAGTCTATGTGGGCTAAACCCTGGATCATTTTCCTTTGATTTGGCACAAAATACATTCAGTGACCACATCTTTCAAATGACATTAATTAATTTCTCACTCAGGCACAACCACCACCAAAACTCAATGTACTACATGTCAAAACTATTAAAATTTTAAAATCAAACATAATACAAAACTGAATAAGACAGAAATTTGCTACATTTCTACAGTAACACTAAAATATATTCTAAATCAAAAAAATTAAAAACAATTGTATGTAGCTGAACACCACTAGTGTTAGACTTTCAATCTTGATCATCTATACAAAATGAGACGTCTTGTGAATAATTTTGTACTGTAATGTAAACATGGGGCATGTAACATACTGCAATGAATTCCAAACAGTTGAGAGCCGTCATTCTTGTTTTGTAAAGAAATTTTACAAAAGAAAACAATGTATAATGCACTAGTCTCCAACTACGCCAATACCAACCAATTGCCAAGGTAGTTCAGAATGTGAACGAAGCATAATTTGCACATTGTGACCATGCGTGAAGCCAAAAATAACCTTAAGTGGAGAACCTTATATTACAGTAATAACCTTTTCCTTCAAATACGAACCTCAATGGTGTGTGATAAGGGATAAGCTTACATGTACACTTTTTTTTAGATCCACAAACACAAACCAGTCTCTGGTCTCAGACTACAGTAAATGAGCACCTTGTGAGAGCACAATCCAGCTGTCTCAGATCCAGGATGGACTGAGACCCATGTGTTTATTCAGAAGGAGAAAATAGAGTGCTCCAGGCATTACATCATTTTTGAAGGCTAAAACTTAGATACGAGTTAGCATTTTAGTGGTTCCATCGTCCTAAAGTCGATGGGTTTTTTTGAATGGGTGGTGATATTGAAGTCATGTAACTGTTGGTGTAGTTAGTTTAAAGTCTACATTTAGCTTTTTACTAATGGCAATTGTATTTAGGTTTCAAAATTCATAAAGGTTGTGTTGAACAAAATGTTTAAGAATCATAAACTTTTGCTGGTCACTGAAACTATTTCTGCAATGATCCAAAAGCCAACAGAAAAATGCTATTGATTAAAAGCTGGTCACTTCGCACGTTGGTCAGATGGTCTCTTCCTATCCTATTCCTAAGTGGGCGTTTTTGGCCAGAATAAGCATCAATGTGGCATTATGCCGAAAGTCAAAATCTCGTTCTGTGAGACTCAAGGAAACATCTCATTTAACTTGATAAGAACACCAAAGCAGCTCTTTCAAAGATTTATTTAACTCATCAGAGTGTTTGAATATCGTACCTATGTCCCAGGCTCCATTGGCATTGGTCTCCATCTCTTTGCGTCCAATGATGTACCAGATGCAGGCCATCCAGTGAGCCAGCAGAGCGAACATCGACATGAGCAGCGTTAGTACCATGGCGCTGTACTGTGAGTATCTGTCCAACTTCTGCAGCAGTCTTAACAGACGCAACAATCGCACAGTTTTCAGCAGGTGCACTAGAGACGTCTTGAACAAGCACAAACATGTGTGTCAATAGCCTGTGTAAATATTAATACCTTGTAATCACATAATTTGCTTGCTCCAAAAAACGAACAAAAAAGTATTTTGGAAACAAAAATTTTAATCATTCTGTAGTCTAGATCATGGTACCACCACGTAACTTCTTTGTAAAGGACCTCTGGAGTTTTCTTTTGAACCATCATACCCTCCCCATTCTACTATTTTTAAATAAGCCATATGATTGGGAAATAAAATGATTTCTACATTCACACATGTGAACTTACAACAGTAATGTTAAATGCATAGAGCAGGTCAAAGGGCAGCGCAGCCACCAGATCCACGAAGAACCACGTGGTAGCATAATGCAGACAGATGGAGCGAGGCTCGTACACCACCTGCCCTGATTGACTCACGTAGGTGGTGCGAAAGTTAAGAATGATGTCTGAAAGAGAAAGAAGATTAACGACATTTTCTTGGAAGTCTTATTTTATTTTTTAAATTATTATTTACTTTGAGTCTCTTTTGAATCATTTATACACTCATATATTACAGGTGGTAACTGAAGTTTTATGTGTTGATGATAAACCATCCGATTCTACAAGGTTACTCGAATGTTCTTTCAGTTCAGAGGCTTGCTTTCTTAGTAAACTCACCCAGAATAAAAAGCATTTCCACTGCGATGTCGCTAACTATCGTGCTCCTGCCTGCAGTCTCCAGATCACTGTACGCTGTGAAACACACATTGTACGGCACGGTCACAGCAACATAGAATGTAGCCAGTAGAATCATCCAATCCCACAATGCCTTGGACACACTATAATGCAGCAGGATGAATCGAGACTTCTGGACTGCTGCCACTTTGTACTCAGGCAGGGATGGTTTTTCAAACATGTCCTGAGAGAAAGAGGCATAGATTAAGGAATGAGAGCAAACAAATTCAGCGTTCTCTTTTAATGTCTCAATTTCTACAAGGCACTAGTGAGATTTAATGAAGTGCAAATAAGGGGGTTTGCTAAAGCCTCCTGCTTCTCATGTTTCTCATGAGAAAAACTGTCCCAACTCTTATCCCAAATCTGAATCTCTCTTCATTTACAACCACTCATATAAGTCATATAAAGACAATTGAGAGCCCAATCAATTCCTGATGAATAAAGTCAAGTCTGCCCAAAATATCCTGTTTAAATGTCACAAAAATTACTTACTGGCATACTGTTTTAGTAAAGTCTCAGCTTCGAGACTTGTCTTTGATCATTAAAAGCAATAGAGAAGAAGAGCTGGCAGAATAATCTGTTATTATTCAGTAAATAACAAGAAACTATATTTAATATTTAACTGCAAGGACATCTCATGAGAGATGATAAATCTGGGTATTTCTTTAATTTAACTTTTACATCACAGAGGTGAGGGCATGGGTCAAGCTCATGGTTTTTGGTCATGATTAGTTTGAGGCAGCAAATCATGTGGTTTCTAATCCTCCATGCTCTCATTTGCCACACTCTTCATTAAGATTAAAGAACAGACCC